CCTTGATTTATAGCCTTTGTTTAGTGACTCTACAAAGTTACAACATCACTGAAAAAATAACAAAAAATGGCTAACAACCATCCTTGCACTTATAACTGCCTCAGCATTCCCTTTGGTCGCATGATCAAAATTTGGGCACTCGGCCAAACAGCAATTATTTTCTATGGTTGCCGTGTCCTGCAATCTTGTGATCATTCTTTGTAACCTTCCCAGCCAGTTTAACAGAATAACAGAAGAATTGGAAGGGACTTTGGAGGTCTTCTAGTCCAACCCCCTGATCAGGCAGGAAACCTTATACCAGGGTTGTCAAACTTGATTTTATTGAGGCCACATCAGGGTTGTGTTTGACCTTGGGGGGGGGGGGCGGGATGGGCATGGCCAGCTCGAAATCACTCATGTTGGGGGGGGGCACCGGCCTTCTGCAAGCCTCTGCCAGCAAAAACAGAGCTCGAGTGGGTTGTACGTGGCCCTCCCAAGCTCTGTTTTCACTAGCAGAAGCACTGCGGGCCTGTCCTTCCCTGTTTCCAGGGTGGCCCCACGGGCCAGATCTAAGCAACCTGCAGGCCAGATGCAGCCCATGGGCCTTGAGTTTGACAGCCCTGTCTTATCCCATTTCAGAAAAATGGTTGTCCAACCTCCAGGGGTAGGATTCAGCCGGTTCGGACTGGTTCAGGTGAACCAAATGCTAATTATACATCTGGTTCACCGAACCGGTAGTTGCAAGGACTAGCTGGCCCTTCCTGCCCCTCCCACCCCACCCCGCCACTCCCAGTAGTCTCCACACAGCCCGTTTTGGATGCCAGGTAAGCACAGAGTCCGTGCAGAGGCTCTGGGAGGACGAAAAACGGGCCTCCCGGAAGTTCCAGAAGTCTGGAAATGGGCTCATTTCCGGCCTCCGGAGGGCCTCTGGAGCCCGAGGGAGGCCATTTATGCCCTCCCAGCGGCTTGAGGAAAGCCTCCAGAGCCTAGGGAGGGTGAAAACGCCCCCCACCCCCCACTCACCCAGCAACCGGGCAGAGAACCAGTTGCTAACATTTTTGAATCCCACCCCTGCCAACCTCTTCTTAAAAACATCCAGTGATAGAGCATCCACAACTTCTGGAGGCAAGCTGTGCCACTAATTAATTGCTCTAACTGTCAGGAAAATTTCTCCTGGGGAAGCCAGGTTCGCTTAATGATTCACTTAACAACTGTAGCAATTCGCTTAACAACCAAGGTGTGAAAAGTATCATAAAATCGGACCTCCCTTAACAACGGCTTTGCTTAAGCAATGGAAATTCTGGTTCCAACTGTGGTCATAAGTTAAGGACTACCTGCACTTGGGAATAGATGTGCATGAATCAAGCACACAATGAATTAGCACACAATGAAGCGGAGTTGTTTCAATACAAGATGGACAGCAAATAAATGAAACAAAATAAAGAAAACCTCATCTTGCCAATTCCAGCTTCCCTGCTGTTTGACGGCATTGTTCCTGTTGTCCTATTCCTGCCACCAACATCATTTCCCACCCTCTGACAATTTACATTCATACAGTTGTTCCCAAGGAGAAAAATAAATCTCCCTTGTGGGCAGCCACTGGAACCATTTGTTTGACAGTAGCCATTTTTTGCCGCATGCAGTTAAATCCTAGCTCAACAGCAGACCAGTGAAGATAGGACTATGGTTTCGAAACGCCGTTGCACTTTTTGCTACGTCACTTTCTAATCCCAGATTGCCAGGGAATTAAGTCACGTATTTTTGGATTATCTGTGTCCACGTTTTGCTATGTTATTAAATGCAACCACAAAAACATATAATTGCTATGTATGGGGGAAGAGCCAAATGGGGAATTTCTGAGAGTACTTGATAACCAAAATAGATAAGTTCTAGCCAAAATGATACTATTTAATGGCTATAATATAAAACAGGTAGTCCTAGATTTACAATATTTCATTTAGTGACTGTTCAAAGTTACAGTGACACGGAAAAAAGTGTCTTATGACCGTTTTTCACACTTATGACCATTGCAGCATCCTCATGGTCATGTGATTGAAATTCAGGCACTTGGCAACTGATTCATATTTATGACAGTTGCGGTGTCCTGGAGTCATGTCATCACCTTTTGTAGCCTTCTGACATTTGTTAAGTGACTTTTGCCCCATTCTACGACTAAGAGCCATGGTGGCACAGTGGTTAAAGTGCAGTACCGCAAGCTATTTCTGCTGATTGCCAGCTTCCTACAATTTGGCAATTCGAATCTCAGACTCAGCCTTCCATCCTTCTGAGGTGGATAAAATGAGGACCCAGATTGTTGGGGGCAATAGGCTGACTCTGTAAACCACTTAAGAGAGGGCTATAAAGCACTGTGAAGCGGTATACAAGTCTAAGTACTATTGTTATTTTCTTGCCACAGTTGTTAAGTGAATCACTGCCATTGATAAGTTAGCCACCCGGTTGTTAAGTGAATCTGACTTCCCCATTGACTTTGTCAGAAGTGGGGACACAGCAACGGTCATAAATATGAACCTGTTGGCAAGTATCTGAATTTTGATCACATGATCATGAGGATGATATAAAAGCTGTAACTGTGAAAAACAGACATCTTTTTCAATGCCGTAGTAACCATGAACGATTTAAACAAACAATCGTAAGTTGAGGACTTCATAGGTACATAATGTCTACCTCTGTCTCTTTAATTTGCCTTTTGGTGAATGGATGATTGGGAATGTGCAATTAGGTGTCAACCTTGTGAAGTAGTCCAGACAAGATACACAACCAGAAGTACCAGTTCTACTTGATTGTAAGGTTCCCTTAATGAATCTTGCATGCTTGAAAGTACATCTCTACATACACACCCTTCACTTTACAGCCCAAGAAACTAGGGAGGGTCCTTTCTGAGATGTTTCCCATTTCCACATTCCTTCTGCGGACTCAGGGACTGCTTATCCAACCATTGTCCTGTCTAACCAACATCATTTCTATATGTCATTTCAGTAGGATTGTAGAATATGCCTTCCACCTAGTTACACAAGTTAGCAATAGCAATAGCAATAGCACATAGGCTTATATTATTATTATTATTATTATTATTATTATTATTATTATTATTATTATTGAGATTTATATGCCGCCCTATCTCCAGCCGGACTCAGGGCGGCTCACAACAGTAAAAAACATCTAATGAAAAAGTTAAAAAGAAATTAAATCCAAATCTCATAATTTAACAGTTAAAAGTGCAATTAAGACTAAAAAGTTAAAAATTGAAACCCCATCAGTCCAGGCCAGCCAAACGAAACAGCCATGTTTTCAGGTTGCAACGGAAAGAGCGGAGGTCGGGGGCCACCCAGAGCTCCAGGGGCAGTTGATTCCAAAGGGTGGGTGCGCCCACAGAGAAAGCTCTCCCCCTGGGGGTCGCCAGCCGACACCGTCTAGCCGACGGCACCCTGAGGAGGCCCTCTCTTATATACCGCTCTATAGTGCTTTTCAGCCCTCTCTAAGCAGTTTACAGAGCCAGCATATTGCCCCCAGCACTCTGGCTCCTCATTTTACTGACCTCAAAAGGATGGAAGGCTGAGTCAACCTTGAGAAGGTCAAGCTCGAACTCTTGGCCGTGAGCAGAGTTATCTTGCAATGCTTCATTCTAATAACTGCGCCACCACAGCTCTTAATTAATGTACATGCCGTAGTTTTTCAACCTACGTGATAAAGTATGAAGGGGAATCTATTCACAGGCACCAGCCAGAAGAGAGAGAGAGATTTCAATGCAATTCTCCCGGGAGAGGGCATTAAAAACAGAAAATTGCACTCTGCCAGTGTTTACAAAATGTTGTGTTTTAAGAACAGTTTTTTAAAAAGCTGATTTAAGGGAAGCCACAGTATTCCATGACTGTGCAGGCAAAGGAAAACCAGTTTCTCTCTTTTTCCCCCGCTGAATTTGGTTGAGTGAAAAGAAGTAAACAGAATGGCTGGCTTAATTTCTTTTTAAGGGTTTTTTAATTGTTTTGTTTTGTTTATCGCTTTAATTAATGGGGCCAAATCTATATATATATATATTTAACTGTGTTTTAATATTTGTATTTGATGTTTTTATTTGGCTGTTCACCGCCCTGAGTCCTCAGGGAGAAGGGCGGTATACAAATTCAAAAATAAATAAATAAATAAATAAATAAATGAACAATCGGGTGTGTGAAGAATAACAAAATCAGATTTCTACATCTTCTTATTCGAAAAACAGTATTATTGTCTGTATTTGACTTTTCTCTTTAAAAAAAGGCTATACTTTCCTTCCTTTATAGTAATTACTGTATATTTTCAGAGCCATTGTTTTGTCCTATGGCTCATCCCAGCCATTAAAAAATATTGTTCTCGTTTTGATTGCTTTTGCTTTGTTTTATTTCCTTTCAATTTTAATGTTATCAGTTCCATCATGGTTTTAATTGCCATATAGATGAATGCTTGATTGTTTTTTTTAAAAAAAGGTACAGGTATAGGTATGTCCTCAACCCATTCCTAAGAGGTCTGTAAGGGGTGTGCATAAGTGCACCATCGTGCCAACCGTCCCTGTCCTAATATTCCTTTTTACTTACTCTTTTCATGTATTCAAATTATGTTTATATTTTTTACCTGTAATCTTATATATGCTTGACAAAATAAATTTATGACTTAAACTTATGACTTAATTCTAAGGTAAAGGTTTCCCTGTCCAGTCATGTCCGACTTTAGGGCATGGTGCTCATCTCCATTTCTTGGCTGAGGGAGCCACGGTTGTCCAAAGACAATTTCCGTGGTCATTGGCCAAGATGGTTATACACCAAAGGCTCACAGAATGCCAAAGTGGTACCTATTAATCTACTCGTGTATAGGTAGGCAGGAGCACAATTCTAGCCTTAATTATTATTTTTTTAATTGGGGTGGCACCAAAAGTAGGCCCAGTATTGTGAATTCCAGTTTGAATTGATTTCATTGCCCTCCTTTTTAAAATAAAAATTTAAAAACAAAACTTTTTCTTTGCATCTCAGGATCTGCTCTTCAATGTCTGAAGTGTGCATTCACCATTTTCAATATACCCTGCCACACTTCGACTGTCACCTGTAATAGTGAAGAAGTTTGTGCTGTCATCCAGGGAAGTGCTGGTAAGGATTTTCTTTCTTTTCTTTCTTTTTTTTTTAATTTCCTCCCTGTCTTCACATATGCTGTTTTCCTCAGGAATTTTATCTGGCATAATTTTGTTTCTTGGAATAATACTTCTGAATAGGTCCTCATATAGTAAAACCTATATGTAGTTATGAAGTTATATGTAGTTAACTATAGGTAGTTGTGGAATAAGCAACCCTGGATTTCCAAATGAACTGTCAGAGTTTGCTGCAGCAATCAAATCCAGAAAGCGCACACAGGTAACTGATTCAGCAGGATTCTCTTTGCATCAGGGGTGAAATACTCCCAGTTCGGACTGGATTGCCTGATCCGCTAGCGATGGCAGCAGGTGGTTCGGAGAACCGGTAGCAAAAATCCCTGCCCCCTCCCTCATGCCCAGCTGAGCCGTACGAGCATCAGAGTCTTTTTTTTTTTACTTTTAAAAGCATTTTTTCTACAACCTCTTTGGCCGAAAAAATTCTTTTAAAAGTAAAAAAAAAAAAAAAGCCTCTGATGATCGCGGGGCTCAGCTGGGATCGTCAGAGGCTTTTAAAAGCATTTTTTTCTGCAACCCTTAAGGTTGTAGAAAAAATGCTTTTAAAAGTAAAAAAAAAAAAAGTTGGCCACGCCCACCCAGTCACATTATCTCCCCCACCAAACCACGCCCACAGAACCGGTAGTAACAAATTTTACATTTCACCACTGCTTTACATATATAATAGAACACATGAAATAAATACACAATACCAATGGCAGATTCTCCAGCGTGGTAGTAGTTACAAGCAAACACAGGCAGAGGAGAGAACAGTTTCAGTTTCAATTCAGCAGACGGACTAGTTTTCGCTCAGAGCAGCAGACTCAGAGCTCAGCACAGCATGCTTAAGTTTCTGTTTCCAAACAGCCCTCATTGGCTGACCCAGTTGCTATGCCTATTCATTGGCTGACCTTGTTGCTATGCCCTATTCCAGTTCATGAATAGTCAGACATGCACATCAGTCGATGCATTCAAAATGTTTGTCCATCTGTTCAACCATCTTTGGTCTGTTTAAGTCCATCAAAGCCACCTGAGACTATTCAAGGAAAGACCCTCTCGGGTTTGAGTATTTTAGACTCAAGTGATGTGGATTTGTAACATTTAGCGATATCTTCTTCACATGCATTCTCCGCTTTGGAATATCCTCTTCCCCCAGAGGTGGGGCTGGCCCCCACTCTTCTGGCTTTTCAGAAGAGTTTGAAGATCTGAGTCCATCAATCTGTATATGACTTGCAGAAAAGCATGCAAGCTCAGGGTTGGCTAGAGTCCAGGGGCTCTGCAACCTTGGCAACTTTAAGACGTGTGGACTTCAACTCCCATAGTTCTCTCTGGGAGAACTCAGAACTATGGGAGTTGAAGTCTTAAAGTTGCCAAGGTTGGAGACCCCTGGGCTAGACCCTTCTAAATTTTAATTATTCTAGCCTTGTTTTATTTGCTTATTAAATGTATATGCTGCCCATCTCCTCGATAAGGAAACTCTGGGTGAGTTCTACTTAGCTTTACTACCAGTTCACATTGCGCCTGCACCCGCACACTTGCTTTGCACAAATCACCTATGATGACGTCAGTGGTGAAATCCAAATTTTTTTACTACCGGTTCTGTGGGTGTGGCTTGGTGGGCGTGGTGTGGCTTGGTGGGTATGGTGTGGCTAGATGGGTGTGGCTTGGTGGGCGTGGCAGGGGAAGGATATTGCAAAATCCCATTCCCTCCCCACTCCTGGGGGAAGGATATTGCAAAATCTCCATTCCCACCCCACTCTGGGGCCAGCCGGAGGCGGTATTTGCCAGTTCTCCAAACTACTCAAAATTTCCACTACCGGTTCTCTGAACTACTCAAAATTTCCGCTACCGGTTCTCCAGAACCTGTCAGAACCTGCTGGATTTCACCCCTGGATGACGTCCAGGTCAGTGGGCGGAGCCTCCCACCGGTTTTACTACCAGTTCTTGCGAATCGGGGGCAACCCACCACTGGCTTACACAGAGAAAAACAATTATAATTTTAAAACTATGCAAATAAAAAAAAAACCAATTCGTACAATGACGGAGACAAGACAGCATGGAGATGAGGTCTTCTTAATTGCCTCTCTCTATATATATCTCCATGCTGTGTGTCTCCATTTCCACCCTAATGTTGCTAATTTTAACATTTTAACTTTTAACACCTAATGTTTTTCATGTTTTTAAACCTTCTAATTCATTTATATTGCTATTTTTGACATTGCAAGCCATCCAAATTCGCTTGATAGTAAGATTGGCAGCATATAATTTCTAATGTTTATGTTTTTAAGCAGCTCAGAGTTACCTCCGGTAAGAAGGGCAACCTATCAATTTTACAAATAAATAAGATAAAACAATAAAACAAAAACAAAATAAATAAAATAAAAAATAAAATAAATAAAATAGAATAATAAAATAAAGTAAAACAAAACAAAACAAATAATAATAAAATAGAATAATAATAAAATATAAAATAATAAAATAAAATAATACCCTGTTTCCCCCAAAATAAGACATTCCCTGATAATAAGCCCAATCGGGCTTTTGAGCACATGCCAATAAGGCCAAGCGCTTATTTCAGGGTTCAAAAAAATATAAGACAGGGGAAACACGGTAAATAAAATAAAATAAAGTAAAACAAAACAAATAATAAAATAAAATAATAATAAAATATAAAATATAAAATAAAATAATGAATAAAATAATAAAGTAAAATAAAGTAAAACAAAACAAAATGTAATAAAATATAATAAAATAAAATGTAAAATAATAAATAAATAATAAATAATAAATAAAATAAAAATGTATACCATCCAAAATCAATCTGTGAGTATTGGGAAACAGTCAGGCAGGGAGGAGGGGGCCAAGCGGGGAACCAGACTTATGCTTTTGGATACTACTCAGGGACTCAAGGCTAGTTCCCTGCTTGACCCCTCCTCCCTGCCTAGCTATGACTTTGGAACAGTGAGTGAGATGGATGGTCTCTAACTTTGATATATCAAACAATCAACCAACTCAGCTCTGCTCTCTGCCCTATTTGTTCCCAACAATGCAACGACGGGGTGTTATATAGGTGGCAGGGAACATTATCCGTACATATTTCTCACCCTATGTCTCTTTCTTTTGATGTTCCACCTAGCTGGTCATAAGCTCATCAAGAAGAAGGACTGTGTCGCACAGGATAAATGCGACAAGAACAGTACCGAGTCCTATTTGGGCATCAAATACGTCACCACCTACAAGTGTTGCGATGGCGATTTCTGCAATTCGGGAGCCACCTTGCCCTCTGCTCACATCTCTCTGCCCATGCTTCTGGTCATCGGAGGCACCTGGTTCCTTCGCTTCCTCTAATCTTCTTTCCAGGAAGGAGAGAAAACACCAACTCTAGAAGATGCCAAAAATTAAGCCTGCGATTCTTCTACTTTTTTTAGCTGAAAGTAACGTCCATGGAACTCCAGTCATGTACAGGATTGTCCTATTATCCTACCAAGCACTGTATTAAATAGACACTCTCGCCTTTCCTTTTTATTCAGAAATGCATTTGTGGCTTAATGAAGGCGTATCCTCTATTTTAGAGCATATGAATGAAGCTTTAGGAGTTGAAGCTGCCTTAATCTTTCTCCTCCTCCTCTTTTTTCATTATCTTCTACCTTTTCAATTCCTTTTCCACTTATTTTCATCCTCTGCAAGCTTCTCTTTAAAACAGAGTCGGAAAACTAGTGTCAGACAAACTACAAGTCCAATAGTCCCATCTAGATCACAGTACCCATCTCCCATAGGCCCCTTTTAAGCTTCTTCACCCCTTGAGATTTAGAATAGAATAACAGAGTTGGAAGGGACCTTGAAGGTCTTCTAGTCCAACCCCCTGCTTAGGCAGGAAACCCTACACCACTTCAGACAAGTGATTATCCAACATCTTTAAAACTTCCAGTGTTGGAGCATTCATAACTTCTGGAGGCAAATTATTCCACTGATTAATTAATTTTACACTGCTTTCCTCCTCCTGTACTAAAGGGGCAGTGTTGTGTTTCCTCTCCAATTATCTCATTTCATAGGATTCTTCCCAAATATGATCACCAGTTGCCCCTTTTTCCTCGGCATGGGTGGGACCTTCTCGTTCTTCAGCCAACGTTTCTCCTGATGACAGTGTCATGTCTATGAGGGAGATAAGGCAATGGAGGATGAGTTCCCTCAATGCAATTCCTCCCCATCCCCCACGCTTCCATCCCGCCCCCACATTCCCTTAAAGAAATATGATCTGTGGCATCCCTAGGCAGATATTTGGCAGCAGCGAGAGAGAGAAAGAGAGAGAAGTCATCTGAGGCAAGCAACCCACTGGATGGCTAATGAAAACATGCCACGAGCTGCTATTTTGGGCTGACCCTGAGCCAGTTATGTTTTAAAGGCTACATACATAACATTCTGCAGAGGAGGGGCTGTATTGCGTGCTCTTGCACACATCCCTTCAAGAAGGAGAATGGGATTTAACCCTATATATGCCAACATTTCTGCCTTTGTCCCCAAAATCTGCTGGCTGTTTTCTTGCATTTGTATGCCTGCAACATCACCCATATTAGGCTGCCTGAATTCAGCAGGTCCTTTCAAGCACTTTTGCCTTTTATAGATATAGATTTTACATATATATGTGTTTTTCTATCGAGACACCTGGTCTACCCCAACGTGTGGGAGGGGGCATTCTGCTCCCTTTCGCCCTTTCAGCTCCAATCCAGGAGCCCTCAAGCAGTCGCATTCATTTCACAAACCATTTTATACCAAATTTATATTTTTCTGATAAAGAAATAAAGGGATATAATCGATAATACTGGTAGTCCTCGACTTACAACAGTTCATTTAGTGACCGTTCAAAGTTACAAGGGCCCTGAAAAAAGGGGTGTATGACCCATTTTTCACACTTAACGACTGTGGCAGCATCCCCATGGTCACACGATTCAAATTGGTAGCCTTCTGCTACCAACAGCCTCTCACCGACCAGTACGCTCCCATAGAGAGGGGCTCCTCAGGGTGCCGTCGGCCAAACAGTGTCGACTGGCGGCCCCCAGGGGGAGACCCTTCTCTGTGGGGGCACCTGCCATCTGGAACGAGCTCCCCTCAGAGATACGGAGGATCACGGACCTGCGCATGTTTCGTTGTGCTCTCAAAACTTTTTTATTTCAGCAGGCTGGCCTGGCCTAACTCTCCTCTTTTAAATTTTTAATTCGTGTGATTTTAAAAATTGGGTGTTTTAATCTGTGTTTCGGCCAAAATATTTAATAATTTTAAGGGATTTTTTTTAATATTTGTATTATCTGTATTTTATCTTGGCTGTTCACCGCCCTGAGTTCTTCGGGAGTAGGGTGGTATAGAAATTTGATTAATAAATAAATAAATAATAAATTCAGACACATGGCAACTGAACTCACATTTATGACGGCCGTAATGTCCCTGAGTCAAGTCATCCCCTTTGGCGACCTTCTGTCAAGCGAAGTCCACAGGGAAGCCAGATTCGCTTAACGACCTTGCTACTAACTTAACGACGACAGTGATTCACTTAACAACTGTGGTAAGAAAGGTCGTAAAATGGGCAAAACTCACTTAACGACTGTCTCGCTTAGCAACAAATTTGGGTCTTAAGTGCGGTCGTAAGTCAAGGACTACTTTATTTGCTTCCTGGAATTACCTGGAAGACGATTCTTCGTTTTTCCAAGGTTGAAAATGATTCCCTATTTCCACCTCAGTTGCCAGTTTGTTTTAAAGTCACCATTTGTATACCTTTGCTCTGAATATATGGATTCGCATAAACACTTTCTCCAATACACTACAAGTTTTTTAAAACATACACATAAGTAACAAGGTTTTTTTTTATAATGTAATACATTTTTACATATACATTCCCCACATGTGTACATCCCTGGGTTTTGTGTGTGTGTGTGGGTTTTTTGGTTTTTTGAGTTGTGAGTAAACAACCATTGAATTTTAGATACCGGCATACATAGTCGCTCCAATTTCCCTTTTTCTAAGTTCAGGTTCATTCAATTTGCTTCAGAACGTAAGATGAACAGATTTCTTCTCATAATCGTTTGTACTCAATAAATGATGAGCTAATTAAATCTCTGAAAACTGGTACAGTTTTCTTCCTGCTTTTCGTTTCTCAAAAGGACAACTTCATTCATCAAACTAAGCATTGCACACACCATGCTGAGATGGTTTCCCAATTTTGACAGAGAGCTCAGAGATGGAATTGGGAAAACGCTTCCTGATCTTTTTCCCCGAACAGAGAAATTTCATCAAGGAATTTCAGGAAGTTGCAGGCAGTCCTTGGATCCAAAAATGCTAAAAGTTTGGGAAAGTTTTTCTTTGTGTTCCAAACACTCGTTCAACTGTCAACTTAAAGCCTCTTTAAGCCCCATCGTTCATGTTCCTCCTTCGTGAGAATAGATCAAATTACAAAGTAAAGGATATGTTGGTCTATGAAAATTTTATTTGATGGGAGTATAAAGATGAGATCTTCTTTTTAAAAAGGGCTTAGAAAACAGAAGGCAATATAGGGTAAATTGTATAGATGAGGAAGAAGCAAGGAAAGTTGGAAAGAATGGAAAGGTCTAAGGCAGGGGGGGAAACTCGTGGCCCGTGGGCCAGATATGTCATGAGCTGGCCACGCCCACCCCGGTTTAGCGAAGGGGGGAGGAAAGTCTCAATACATCACGTGACGACATGATGCCACGAGTCTGATACCCCTAGTCTAAGGAATGGTGTATGTGTAAATTTAAATTAAATTCATTTCATTTTCTTTTTGGCCTTTAATTTCTTTTGCTTACTTCTTTTTTTACTTTTCTGCACTTTATGTAACATGGCTTACCCTGAAAGGGAACAGAGAGATTGATGTGCGTATATTTACTTTTAAAAATGGCTTTTTAAGTTTGTTTGATATTAGAATTTCAAAATGTGCTTTCAAACAATGGAAAAAAGAAATTAAACGACGATAGAACTTCCATAGCAAAAATCCATTCTGGCTACTTTTTAAATTGAAAAGGAAAACCTAAGTGCATCGTAGTTCTAAAGGAAGATCTATTGGCTGTATGTTTATTCCCTCTTATCTGGAAGCAAGTTCCATTGAACTTAATGGGTCTTACTTCTAAGTAGATATGTATACGTGTATTCTGTAAAAATAAACACGAGTCTTCCACACATTTGGGTTTTATTCCTTTGTTCTCATTTCCACACCAATCACAGCATTCCTAAAATATGGAAGAAACTTCTCCTTTAGAGCAGCCATATTTTCCAAAGCATTTGAAGGCAGGCCAAGAAGCAACGGATGGAAACTAATCAAGGAGTGAAGCAACCTAGAACTAAGGAGAAATTTCCTGACAGTGAGAACAATTAATCAGTGGAACAACTTGCCTCCAAAAGTTATAGGTGCTTCAACACTGGAGGTTTTTCAGAAGAGATTGGACATTTATCTGAAATGGTCTAGGGCCATGATGGCGAACTTATGGGATGCATAACTTTGAATGGTCACTTTATGAACTATTGCAGAGGTGTCAAACTGGATTTCAAACTGGATCAGCATTGTTGTTCTCCGTGGGCTAGCGGGGGGGGCGGGAGATTGGACGGAGCCTCCTGCAGCACCCTGCCAGCCAAAATGGGGTACGGGGGGGCATGCACTGCCCCCCCGGGCCCATTTTTAGCCAGCAGAAGGCCATGGAGGCCGAAATGGGCCATAGGGGGTTGTGAGTGGCCTCCCCGCGCCCCATTTTGGTCGGCAGAGGCACTGTGGGCCAGTCCTTTGATATTTCCAGGCCAGGCCCGTGGGCCAGATCTATTTATTAGTTATTAGTTTGATTTATATGCCGCCCTTCTCCGGAGACTCAGGGTGGCTTACAATGCGTTAAGCAATAGCCTTCATACTTTTGTATATGCCTGCTTAGTAGGGCTTTTGGCCCCCCCTAAGCGGTGTTCTATTTTATACAAAGTCAGCTTATTGCCCCCACAAACCGGGTCCTCATTTTACCTACCTCGAAAGGATGGAAGGCTGAGTCAACCTTGAGCCTGGTGAGAATTGAACTCGCAGTAATTGCAGGCAGCTGGCAGCTAAATATTACTTTAACAGTAGTTTAGTCCACTGCACCACCAGCCTCCTCTCCCCGCGGGCCAGATACTGCCCTCAGGCCTTGAGTTTGACACCCTTGAACTACTGTAAGTCAAGGACTATCTTTATCCCTAAGGTTTGTCAAATTTGGAGATCTTTGGTTGAATCTGCTGCTTTTTAAAAGCTTAATAGCAGCCATCAGTGTCTATATTTTTCAGGTGAAAATCACTTGATTTTACTGGAGGTAATCTAAACAACAGACAGGTGCTTCTCTGGAATGAAGAGAAGAGAAGAGTAGAGAAGCTTTTGAAAAAGAGAAAGGAAAAAAATGAGGGAGGGTTGAATATTAATCCTTTGCTCTTCCCGCTCATTGTTAGATTTGAAGCACAAGAAAACCACGGATTTTCAATTCTCTGCTTTTAGATTAGCAAAACTTGTGTTAAAAATGTGTAACACATTTGCTCATCTTTAGTGGATGGAATTTATTCGGATCAGGATTTGTACAGATAGTCTTACAACAGTTCATCTAGAGACCATTCAAATGTACAACAGAACTGGGGAATTGAAAGGGATAAAGAACTTGAAGAACAAGGGATTGAGATGGACTGGTATACCCACATGCAAATACAAACAAGATGCGAAAAAGATGCGAAATCATATGGTTTTTATTTAGAAATGACAGATCTGGATAGGATATTCACAGGAACAGATGATAAAATAATCAAAACAATATACAACTTCTTACTTAGTATTGAATTGGAAGAAGAGCAAGTAAAGGAAACAATGATAGCTTGGGCAAAAAAATTTGGATATTCAATTGAACTAGATATGGGAAAGGAATTATAAATTAACAATGTCCACAGCATATAAAGAGAACCAATATAAAATGTTTTATAGATGGCATATGCCACCTGAAAAATTGGCAAAAATGTTTAAAGACAAATCAGCTAAATGTTGGAAATACCATCAGACACCAGGATCTTACTATCGTATGTTGGTGGACATGTCCAGAAGCGAGAAATTATTGGATTAGAATTAAAACATGGTTAGAAGAAATGCTTGAACAACATATTGATTTAAAACCTGAGCTGTTCCTATTGGGTATCCTTCCAGAGAAAATCAGCAAAGAAAAGGTATATTTGATTATACATGTAATAACTGCAGCGAGGATAGTATTTGCGCAAAGATGGAAAGTAGAGAAAATCCCTTCAGAAGATGAAGTAATTAAGAAAATATTAGATTGTGCAGAAATGAATAGACCGACTTTGATAATTAAAGAAAGAGAGGATTCAGAATATTACAAGGTATGAAGACAATTTTACAATTGGTTAGAGAAGAGATATAGATAAATGTAAATAAAGAAACGATGAAGATCAGAGGAGTAAAAAGAAGAAGACAAAATAGAAACATCTAGATCAGTGGTGGCAAACCTTTTACTTACCGAGTGCCAAACAAGAATGTGCTGCGCGTGCTGCGCTCACTTGTGTGCCATCCGTGGTAACGTGCAGCTCCTCCCCATGTGCTGTGCATGCAACTGCACCATCTGCACATGCGCACAGCTTTTCTGCATGTGCACAAACGCTATCTGCGCATGCACGCACAATCTCACGCACATGCACAAACCCACACACACATGCACAGAAGAGCTCCGAAGACCAGCTGGGCCCCCTGAATTGCGCACATGCGCACCAGAGGCCTGAACACCAGCTCTGGGGCACGCGGGCATGTGCAGTTTCAGGTGAGCTTTGTGACAACTCGTGTGCCCGGAAAAATGGCTCTGCGTGCCACTTCTGGCATGCGTGCCATAGGTTCGCCAACACAGATCTAGATGATATACTGAATTATTAATTATGTATGTTTGTTGGTTTATAAAATAAATATATATATATATATTAAAAAAAACAAAAAAAAACAAATGTACAACAGCACTGAAAAAAGTGACTTACAACTGTTTTTCATACTCATGACCATAGCAGCATCCCCATGGTCACGTGATTCAAAATTCAGAGGCATGGCAACTGGCTTGTATTCATGATGGTTGCAGTGTTCCGCAGTCATGTGATCAACTGTTGTGACCTTCTGACCTGCAAAGTCAATGGGGAAGCTGGATTCACTTAACAACCATGTTCCTAATAACCGCAGCGATTCACAAGAAGAGTGGCAAGAAAGCTCGTTTAATGGGGCAAAATTCATGTAACAAATATTTTGCTTAGCAACAGAAATTTTGGGCTCAACTGTGCTTATAAGTTGAGGACTACCACAGGGATGGGTTCTAAAATTTTTTAATACCGGTTCTGTGGGCGTGGCTTATTTTGGGGGTGTGATTTGATGGTCATGTGACAATTCTTTAGGATTTAGCAGAGGTACTGGTCTACCAGGCTTTTAACTGCTTGCAGAGTCGTACCGGTCTACCCATTTGTTTTTGGAGCGCACTGGTCTACCACCACCTTGCCTTATACCGCTGATCAGCTGTAGGGCAGCCCTTTGAAGCGCCACGGCAAGAGTTTAAACAGTTTTTTTCCTTCTAGCCAATCAGCTGGGACTCGGGAGGCAGCGAATAGATAGGGGGCGGGGCCAGGCAGAGGTGGTATTTACCGGTTCTCCAAACTACTCAAAATTTCCACTACCGGTTCGCAAGAACCAGGGAGAACCGCTAGCAACCCACCACTGGACTACCAGTAATACACAGAATCTTGACAAGAGTAGTTTTCAATGGCACTGTTTTCTCCTCTTGAATGTAAGTCATAGGCCTTTTCTGCATAGTGAGGTGTAGCTGCAACATTCAACAAAACAATCATTTGTAAAAAAAAAAAAAAAAAGATTGGAAACTTCATCTTGTGAAATTGCTCAAGGAGTAGCAGTGCTGAGCTTGGCCACTTTCTAAAATAGCGTGATAACTCAGGGCTGGGCATGGAAACAACATAGCCAGTTCGAAGGCTTAACTCCCCTTTATTATTCCAACTTGCTCTGTTGGGCAACCAGGGGTTGGGAATAACTGAGGCGAGACAGGTTCTGAAGCTAACAAGCCTTTATTGGCTTAACACCGGCAACAGGAACAGAGCAAGATTAGAACGGCAACTGAACAGTTCGTTTGTCTGACAGCTATTTATATAGCAGCTGTCAGACTTGATAAACCAATTGGAGAGTTTTATTCTCCCACCACAAATGCTGTGCGCCTTAGCCAATCAGGAGCTTCCCCATCATTGCATCATAAGTCTGAGGACTTAACACAACTTTTCCCCCCAAAATCCCACCATTCACTGCAAGTCCAGGAGCAAAGCTCTAGACACGCAACCTCCAATAGTTCCTGGCTGCTATTAGTCCAGAGGAGCAGCATAGTTCTTAAAGCAGCCAAAGTTCGGGGAATTTGGTTGCAGAGAGTCCTTGTCACAGGAAGAGTTCCCTGGGACTGCAGCACCACTTAGAGTATAACTGTGTCACTGCGACTTCGAATGTAACCAGGGCAGGCCAGCACCGCAAACAAGGCAAACAAGACAAAACACAGCAAAGTATCCAGATGTCGGTAACAGCATGTGAGACTGGAAAAAGCAATGGTTGTTCCCAAAAAATGCCCCTCCCAACACTGTCTCTTTAAGTCTCATTCCCCAAGAGTGTCTCTTTAAATCTCATTCCCCAGGTGAGCCTTGTGAAGAAGGATGGGGCGCCCTCCTCCCGAGTCGTCGGGTTGCCCTGAGCTGATCCCACCTCATCTCCATTCTCCGTGCTTGGGGATTCGGGGGGGGGAGGTAACTGCTCACTGCCAGAGCTCCATTGCTCCTCTGCTCCGCTACCTGCCCTGTCCCCCTCTCCTAGTCCTCCTCTGCCTCCTCCCCCACTCTTCCCAGGCCAAGGGACCCGGGACTGCCACATCCTGCTTCTTCGGTCATTTGTGTATTGGCCCTAGCTCCGTCTCCTCCTCCTCCTCAGACTCAGGCTCTGATGGGGCCATAATAAGTAGCATGAAATAGGAGGCACTTCACAAAACCAAGAGACAGTTGAAGGCAGTGGTGGGATTCAGCCGGTTTGGGCCAGTTTGAGCGAACCGGTTGTTAAATTGCTAGCTGGCCCCGCCCCTTCTAGGAGTCCCTATGCACCCCATTT